AAATGTATATTTTAATTGTTAAAATTGCGATGTGCAAGAAGCCCTATCCTGATTTGATACATAAAAAAACTTGAAAAAATTGTTACTACTCACGAGTATAAAAAATACCCGCGGTCACTATGCTCATCAAAAATTCTACGTATACAACCAGTCACCCGTGCCGATTTGGACCTTTCGTCCTACGACATGATTGAGTGACCGGAGGAACATAAATGCATGCGACTCACGCAATAGATGTGAAGAACGTTATCATCGATGCTACGTTGAAGAAGGGAAAGTTATCTTGGGAGGCTCTCATCAAGTAGATACCACTGAGAATCCCATGGTGGAAGTGGACGCGTGAAAAATTTCTAAAAAAACATATGACATTTTATTTCTAAAGACAGTGTTATTTGTGAAAATTTAAATCGTAATAATGTTAAAAATTGGGACTAATAATTTGAGGTGTTTTTATTTCATAGTTATAATTTTATATTCGACTTCAATAGAAAGAAAATTATACAGAATAAAATTTAAATACAACATACTAAAGTACTTACATTTTTAGCTTCTGAAGCTATAAGATTCTTAGAGTATTAGGGAAAGGGGAGATTGTAGAAGATCTGCAACAAGACGTTAAACTTTAGAATTTGTATTTAAAAGCAAAACAAAATCTTAAGTTGGAGATAATGAAAGATTCTTACATTCTTGGCTTTAGAACCGCCGCTGGATTTTGTATTTTCAAAAAATACAAAAAAATTAATGCTGATGTGAAGTATCTGTAACAAAACGTCAAATATTATACTCTGTTGTTAAATTTGAAAAACTGAGTAAATTGAAGTACAATATATAACTACTTACGATCTTGATCTCCTGGAGAGGCCTTATCCTCTTGAGCACTCACTCCAATACCGAAAACGAGTGTTGAAGAAAAAAAAATATGAGAAAGGAAAAATAAAAGACTATCAACGCGCGCGTTTAAACAACAATCGGCGGATTCACTGACTGTAACTTCGCGAATTATAATTTAAATGAATTATTTAATTTAATAAGAGCCACTTTGCTTAGAAAAATATTAAAATATTTCGCAACAAACACTGACTCTACCGACCGCATTGCGCGCGATCACAGAAATTTTCTGAAAATGAAATTGATTATTAAGAGAAGAGAAAAGGATACGTTTATTTAGAAAATACTGCTATCTTTCTAGAACATTATTGTAAAGAAATTTGAATATATATTAAAAATATTAGTTGTAAAGTATAAAGTATTTTTCAATACTGAACATTGTAAATGAAAGACAATTATTGTATTCTGAATGTTTGTTATTAGAGTAGAAAGTATGCAGATTAGTAATATATCACGTCAAATGTTATAAATATTCGAAAATGTTTGCATGAATCAAAATTTCACAACTAATTATATTTAAGAATATACGAAAGACGCATGTGAAATCTTTGAGTCGTTTTTCATCTTTGTATTCTAAATAATTATGAAATTATATACTGTGAATTGTATTTCTAAAATATATATGAATTGTATACCAAATGTTACTCAAAATGTATAAAATGTTGCCAAATTTCCGTAGAAGTTCATCAAATTAATGATCCATTTATGGTCCATTAATAATTGTGGTATCGATGCATTTTATGCTGTCTGTGCAATCAAGATTAACCTGCACAAAGAGAAATTAATAGTCAGAATAAATGTTCCAAACGAAGGCAAATGTGTAAAAATGAAACGATAATCAACTGCAAATTCTACTGAAAAAACGTATAAGATAAGTTACCGGTAACCGTAGGAGAAAAATTGACAACCGATTGCAAAAATTGCTGCAAAAAGTTTCAAAGCATTACGATTTCGTTACCGTAATCCTCAATTAATCGTTAAACACGCGCGTATTAATGAAATTGTACCATTAATGAGCTATGAAGGAAGTGAAAAAGTGTCGAAAAAGCGACGCTATCGATAGGGTAGAAAAAGTTACAAACCTAATGCGACATAAAGCGTGTTGTTGTCACGTAATTTGATAGCCGAATGACTTTCCGCGATTCGTCTCGTCTTGCAATTGAGAAAATAGTAGGTTATGGGATGAACCTGTCCGAACAGGCACGATAGTCGAACAAACATAAACATTGTGTTCGTGTTGTAATGAATTTCGGGCTTCAAGGTTTCCTGGGGCCTTTACTTTACTTGAAAAATGAAAAGTTTTTTTACATTACGCAGTAAAATTATCATTTTAGCTATTAAATACGTGTATCCTAATAAATTATTGTTGAATTTAATATTTGAATTATTAAGAATTACGTAATACATGAAGTTAAAGAATCAACAAATGTTAAAAAATGTTACAATAGAAGTAACATGTTATACATATATATATATATATATATATATATATATACATATATATATATATATATATATATATATATATATATATATATATATATATATATATATATATATAGTCATATTACAAAGTCACAATATGTGTACTGTTAGAATTGAAATTTAATTTTCGTATAAAATTATAAATAACTTTTAGCATGGTATGCTCTGTTTAAATGCTTATATGCTATAATTTCTTTAATTGTTGAAAATTATGACATAATTGTTTGGTTAAATCTTACCTTGACCTGAACTAAAACCGCATATTTTATCTTAAAAATATACAATACAAACGCAAATTTAATAGTTATTATTCAAATTTTTACCTGAGATAATACTTTTGGATGATAGTTCTTTCCAAATGATTTTTCTGCATAATATTTTCTTTTGTACAGATGAAGTGGTGTGCTTCTCGCCGCCATCTTTAACCGCCACTTCTTAGTTAAAAATCGATCATGAGTAGTATCGATTTCGAATTTGAGAATCGTAGGAAGTGTATTCCATATTTCGCCGTTGTGGCGCTGTAATCGTGCATTTTACGGTTAATGATAAAATAAAATATAAAAAACTCAAGGTTAAATCAAATAGACAAAATTCAAGAAAAATTCTTAAAAGAGAACGAAAATATTCACACATTTGATGAAAAATTGTCGATACATTAAACTGAGACATGAGAAATTTTATTATATTTTATCATTATGCGTTGTAAAATTATTTATTTTAACTATTGAATACGTGCATTCCTAATAAATTATTGTTGTATTTAGTTGGATTATTAAGAATTACGTAATACATGAAGTTAAAGAATTAACAAATGTTAAAAAATGTTACAATAGAAGTAAAAGCATGTTATACATATATATATATACAGTCATATTACAAAGTTACAATATTTGTACTGTTAGAATTGAAATTTTCGTATAAAATTATAAATAACTTTTAGCACAGTATATTCTGTTTAAATGTTTATATGCTTTATTTCTTTAATTGTTGAAAATGATGTCATAATTATTTGGTTACATCTTACCTTGAACTGGAGTGAAAAACGCATGTTTTATCTTAAGCATATACAATACAAACTCAAATTTAATAAGTACTGATGTAAATTTTTACCTGAGATGATACTTTTGAATGATACTTATTTCCGAATGATTTTTTTAAATAATATTTTCTTCTGTACAGATGAAGTAGTATGTTTCTCTCCGCCATTTTTAACCGCCACTTCTCAGTTAAGAATCGGTCGTGAGCAATATCGATTTCGAGTTCGAGAATCGTAGGAAGTGTATTCCATATTTCGCCGTTGTGGCGCTGCGATCTGTAACTGTGTAATTTAAACTCAATACGCGCGCATTTCGTTTGTATAATAACACAATAAAATCTGTAATTCTTTCCACAATCGGTATTTCAGAGCACGTACGATGAAATTTCATGAGATGTCAATTTTCGTATATTTCATCCACGGCGTGACTGTTGCAAACGACAAACGATCCGATGTGACATCATGTCATTGTGCGTTGGATCTTAAATCTCTTTTTGGTGACGATTTTTACATAGTTGTACGCGAATTGATCATAGATATTTTCGACTAGTTTACAGATACGTAATTTTTGTCAGGACAATAATGGAAAAACTCTTAAACAATTTATAAAAAGCGATGCACTCGCGCAATGCGAGGACGTGTGAATGCAATATATTACGTTCGTGCAATTGCTGCTCCAGTTACGTCAAGAATGCTACCCGACGGCGTTGTTCATGAATGCCAACGTAAACTCATTTTGAGAACATTGAAAAATAACTGGAAATGACAAGAGTGGGGGAAAACGAGATGATTAAGTAACACTTACGAATTTTTTTTTCTCTTTTTTTTTATAATGAACTAACAAATTTACTGCAAACTATTTTAAAAATCTTCAACGAAAAGATCATTGTAGCCTAATGGATGGCTTATGTTGCTGGTCAGGATGAGATGTATAAGTTGTAAAATGAAACTTGGTAAATTACGTAAACACGGGAAAATTTATGCAGAGAATCAAGCTACTTTAAATTAATTTCTCCTTTAGGTTACAAAAAGAAAAAGAAACGAAATTGGAGTACAACGAAAAATAGATTAGAAGATTAAAGTGAAAAAAATTCTAATTTAGTATTATTAAAGATTCAAGATAACGGAATTTGGAAGTAAAAGTCTCCCTCTGGAACTTTTGTCCGTTTGCATTGTATACATACATATGTACATGTATAGATCTTTTAGGTTAGAAAAAAGGATCAAGTTTGGAACGCAACAAAAAGTGCTCGTACTAAATTTCTAATTTTAACGAATTTAAATGCATTTTTAAGATTTGCTAATTTCCGATTTAAATGCTAATTCAATTTGATTCGAGATTTGAGATAATGGGAATTAAAAAGAATACCTTTGCGAAAGTTTCCCTGAAATTATCCAGAAAGAAGATCAAGATTAAAAAGTATCCGTATGAAATTTTTTTTTGTTCTAATATCTGGACTATTCTTTACTAAGAATTCGGCATAAAGGAATTTAGGGTGGGACGACAATTTTTCCCTTTGTCCATTTCCATTGTACGTGTAGTATATGCACGTTATTTTTGAGCGCGCGACTTATGTGAACCGCATTGTTTACAGTTGACGCAACGTGAAACGGTGAGAGGAAGAAAAGATCACGCTGCACGTCGCCGCCGTCGAGAAATCTGGACTCCGAGCGATACTTGAGAAGAATCCCAAAGCATCGTGGATACAAAATCACGTCCTACACAATAACCTTCGGTGAAGAAAGAAAGAAAGAGATAAAGAAAAGGAAATAATAGAGGTAACACGATACATGTTATAACCTCACAGTTTCGGACTGGTACAGTACGTAGCAGATTCTATGATCTATTGCGAGATCGACGATTGTCCAAAGTCTCGGAGTATTTCTCATTCATTTCTAGCTCTAGAATAGTGGTCAGCTTCAATCGCCGACTTTGTACTTATTGTCACTCATGGCATTTCTCCGATGCAAGGATAGTATCGGATAAACGAACGTTGCTCAATTAATGCGATTACTACACCCACGAAGCCTCGCTTCCAAATTTTAATTCGTAAAGGGAATCTTGATAGCTGTTTGAGATTTCAACTGTTCCGTGTACCGAAGTGGTCGTTAAAAGTTACAAAAATAAAGGAAGGTGAAAGAGAAGAGGAGAGGAAAGAAAGAGATTCGAGGGGAGGGAGAGTGTGTACGAGTGAAGGGTACCGGCATGAAAAGCAGTGCGAGAATATTCATGAAAAAAAAGAACACCGAGGGAAGGTTAACTTCAGCAGGATCTTCCTTTACCATTCAAAGCAGCTAGGAAGGTAACACACGCGGGGAAAACAACGACAACGACGCATTTCGCTCTTACATGCAAATTACAACGTTGCTGAATTAACTGGAAACTAGTGGTGGTTAACACAGGGCTAAAAACTTTCAGGCACATGTATGCGCGCACACTTAATTGACAATTAAGCGAGAAAGAAGCGGATAGCGGGCGTTTTTCTCATTTAAAATAGCCGCAGACGGAGCAGACGGTCTTACGGGAAAACAATCTCTCCTGCATGCGGAACGGACGGTCCCGGTGAAAAATTCAATTGCTGACTTGAATCACGTCCCTTGATAAAGAATCGCCGGAAAGGAATTTCCGTTCGGGAGCCAGAAGGGATTCCTCTTTATCTTTCTCTTGCCTGCTGTCTCTTTCTTCGGCTACTGAAAGAGTAAACCAGTCTCAGCTTCCTCCAGCCGATGAAACGTTTCATCTGAAATTTATAATTGATAAACCGTCGAATACCTCTTTGCTCGAGAGGAAAGTAATCTCGATCTCTTACAGAGACCAAGAGAGGAATCAATCATTCAGACATTTGTTACGCGGCTCGTCAAAAGGGGAAAGCTTCATAACTGCGGTGCTAGAAAAGGTCACGAGAAACAAGAAGGAAAAATAACGAGATTTCGATAACCAGACGTTGATGCTACAAGGAAAAGAAAGAGACGCTGATGATAGAACGAGTAATATACAAATAATAATACACGAAGTATAAGAGTGTAAGTATTTCATTATCATATAAAAGTACTAGAGATAGAAAAATAATAGACAAAACGAGCACACTGTTAGAGTAAGAAATTGAAAATCAATAACTTGGTTGAATACTTTTAATAACGTAAAGATTCCATTACAAAACTAACAGCTGCCAACGTAATCTTAAAAGGAAAGAAAGAAGGGAAAGGAGATTTCCCCTAATAAAAAAAAAAGAGCCAGTAGCAAAGAAGTACTACACAACATATAACGGAACGTTTCATTAATTCTCAATCGATACGATATTCAATGGAAAAATTAAATTGTACAACAAGATCTGCGATGCTCGTGGACAGATGCTAATAAGCTGAGTACGACCGTGTCCAACGAGAGACGGACGGACGTACTTTTGTTTTTTTTCCACAACGGTGAAAAGGAAGTCACGAAACACGGCGAACCACTACGGTATCCACTACACGGGCTCGTACGCGTACAGCAACGGAGCACCGAGCGTGTATAGCAACTACCCGGCGAACGGCGGGTTCGTGCAGTCTCATCTCCATGAAGACTACCGGCCGATTTACTTTTACGTAGCGCAGCCCTACACTATCCCGTACACGTTCGCGAAAAGGCCGAGGCCGTCGTCGCTGCTGAGGCCGGGCAAACCTCGGGGCAACTGTCGCGTCAAGTTTTCCAAGAGGCTCGGCAACGGCGACTTCTCGCAGAAGGTTAAGCAGGGCGAGTTCTCGAGAAGCCTCAGCCAGGTGCACTTCGTCGAGAGCCAGGGGCAAGGTATTTACACCGACATTATTTCTTCGCTAAGGGTATAAGTCGCAATAACGTAAATTAATAAATAGCAGACAAGTAATTTTGGTCAGAATAATATAAATTATCCAGTTTCCAGAGAAAGAAGAAGGCTTTTTAAAACCAGGTGTAATGTGTATTTTGTAAATTCAACAGGTTTGGGTAAATTTTGTTCAAAATAAAGATGAGAAGTAACAATTTGAAATAACGAATCATTTATTATATGAATAATATATCAGTTTTATTTGAAAAATTATTCGGGAAAAGTAACTTATCTCCTTGTCAAATCAAATGATTTTGATTTGAGTTGATTCATTGTAAAGTAAAAAGGTGACGTTTACACGATAGAATCAGAAATTGTTTGAGAAATCATTTGCAGATACAAATACATAACACAAAGTGAAAATTATTTTATTTGATAATGCAAAATGTCAAATAAATTAATGAAAAATTATTTGCTTAATTCCAATGAATTAATGTAAGATTATTTCAAAATAACATTGAATCAAATAAGATTATATGTTATTTAAATAATCATTTCTCAAATATTTTATTCAAATAATGCCCATACCTGAACGATATATGATTATCCATTTTCATATTTAAAATTTAACATTTGTTCTTGCAGTTTAAATAATAGGTACAAGTACTTTTCTGCTACTATTATGACTTACACTCTTTTATTTGTTCAGAATTGTTCCATTCAAATGCATGGCAATAATTTTTTCCTATTAATTTATATCGTCAAATTTTATTTTTTGACATTGAGACTGTGGAACGAAATTCCAAGGATTTGCTTGATATTTTCTTATCATTATGTTTATCATCAATACTACAATTTTACAAAGTTTAAAGAAATGGAAGTTTTATGATAAATTATTACTAAATTCTCAATATTAAATCACATTTTTGTTAATTTTTCGCTTTTCCCAGAAAGCTTCAAGTTATCTAATTTTTCAAATACAATATATGTGCGAATATAATATATTAATCATTGATCCATTCAGTACCAGACAATAATTTACTATTACAGTGTTATAAACACTGTAGTATTATCTATCTTACTATTACTATATTAAGCGAATTTTTGAAATTTCCCCTTACAACTCCAGACATTAAAAAAATGGAATTTAATTTTAGAGTTTGAAGATAAATAGAAATATAACGACCCTTTTAATGTAACTGGTTTATCTGATAGGTTAAATCGAAAAGTTGTTGATAGTTTAATTATAATTCCAAAGTTTCTCGTTTATAAATTTCTCAGCAACTAAGTTTAATAACGTGTCCGTTTTATTAATGCATTTACATTAAATTTACTTTTGACGTTAAACTAATCAACTATTTAATAACATCGAGCTCAGAACGATGTGGGATGTATGATATTTTTATATGTAATAAAACTCTTTGAAGTTATTAATTTACTTTCGTACATGTGTACAAAATTCGTTTCGAGAGAGCCTTGATAAAATAATCGGGTAGTTGAGCAAAAGGAAAGCAAAAGGGGGATGGACTCTAATGCCCGAAATAATTGGGGGATTAAAATAATTGCTACGTTGATGTTGTCGTTTAATAAGCTGTCGGATACGCTGTATGAATTTGTAGTTATTTACTAGCCTCGGATTCTTCTCACACTCATTTGTTTAGAAAGGTGAAAATTAAAGAATATGTATCATAGAAATTTATATTGTAATATTTTTAAAATTGAAAGGGTTTCTTTTCTTGCCTGTTAGAAATTTATAGTTGACAGTAGCGATGGGATCTATATTCAAACAATTCGATATCGAGATACTCAATGGGAAATGCGTTGAAATTTTCGTTATCAATTTTTGATACTGACACACATTCGTTTCGAATCGCTATCAAGTCAAAAACCGAATCAATATCCACTTAATATTTCATGAAAACATTGATACCTCTGCTGGTGTACTTCGAAAAATTATATTATGTTTGTAATCCTCTCTGCACCAAGTGATTTTCGTTAACAAACTATATTTTCATATTTCAAAAAAAAAAAAAAAAACATGTTTAAGATAATCAAGTTAGACGAAACATTCTGTTTCTGAAGTTAAAGGGATTGACATCTTGTTTGTTTGATCCTATATTTTGTTTTGAAATACTCTTCAATCACTTTACAAAACTCTATTGTTCACTGAATTTCGATAAAGCACCAGAGGGATGGAAAATGTTGGTGAAGAAGTATTGTTTGACTTAGGCTTTGGCTTTCACGCCAGCGTATTTTTCTTGCCGGAGAATTGTTGCGAAAGCGGGGCATAGTTTCTGTGGCATAATTTAAATAGTTGCTGTCGTCAAGTAAACTATCGATGCCCACGCGGAGAGCGTCTTGTTCACGTCTGAAGCGTGCACATGCTTCTTTTGCTGAAAAGAGAAACTTCTTGGGGAGAAAGGAACATTCTCCAAATATAAGACACCATTCCAATCGAAGACAGAGACAGCGGGACATCGTATTTGGATGAGAGATATCCACTGTCTCTGAACAGTTTTCGTATTTGCGCGTAAAAGGAAACAGGTTGTATGCAAGTATTTGCTTACTGAAACGAGTTGCCAGAGACATTAGGTAGAGTGACATTTTGTCACGCACCTCCGCAGAAGAAAACGTAAAGACAACTTTGACATTAAAACTTACAATATATACAGGGTGTCCAAAGTAGAGCGGAAAGTCTATAAATGCTTCATTAGAAAATTATAAAAAAAGGTAAAAAAAAAACGATATGACGAATTGATGTATCATTCATCAAATCATCCATTAAAATTGATAGTGCTGTTGAATTTATTGTAGATCGAGTTTCATGTTGACTTTGTCGAATTTCTTTACACTCAGTTTTAATTGATTGGTGACCTGGAATAAGAATCTATGTTAATATGTTACTATGTAAGTTTGAAACACCTAAAGTGCTTTTTTTCTTTTTTTTATTTTATACATTCGCTGTGTTGTGTTTTCTCTGGATGAGATATTTGCAACTGTGTACACTGGAACAATCTGTAGAGATGTACAATCATACTATTGTTTATTGTTTTTATTCAATTTCAAAATGTATTTGAGGCCACCGTTCAATTCTTTTAATCAATTCATTTCGTATAGAGTTGCTGGGTTGTAAATTTTTCTTTCCAGACTCCCTCGTAAGTAGAAATCTAGAGATGTAAGATCTGGTGAATTATGAATTATGTATCTTGTCTTATCCTGTATTAAACTAAGAGAAAAAGTACTGACCTACATATTTTCCACATTTCATATTTCTGTTATAGCTTCTTAATGAAGCATTTATGAACTTCTTGCTGCATTGCATTTTGATCTCATTTTTACCTGGCAAAGTTTGAACATTAAAATATACTGTATAATGATAGACTAAAGTTTAAGATCATACTTTTGATAGATTATTGCATTGTAACATGGTTCTAATATTTAGTAAATAATTTCTTTGGCCATATTCATAGAAAATGCAAAATTACATAAATGTTTGCAATCAGAGAATTTTATTAATGAGAGTTTCATAAACAATCTATTTAAGGACTGAAAGCTTTCATGATTGTCTTAAGTTCTAAACTATGTCAATGATATTTGACATTTGATTAGGAAAATTGAAAAGATTCCATTAATTCTTTAAAAATAAATCAAATGTTTCAAAAAGTAGATGATTAAAGAAAGATTGAGTTCTTCAAAGGTATTTTCTCTTTCACTTGGAGATTCTTTGGTAATTTAAAAAGTTTCAAGATTTCAAATTTTTGAGTTTTGATATATGGAGTTTCAGAAAGTTTCGGTGATATAGGGGAGTTGAAAGAGTTCTAAATATTCTGAGGTATATATCCAGAATACCAAATGATTTCAGGAGTATCAGTGATTTTAGATACTTCTAAAAAGAATACATACTATGCGTTTTAGAGAAAGTTCTAGAGTTTCAAGGGTCTCTACAATTCTAAAACGTTTCAAAAGTTTTAAAGAGAGAGAGAGAGAGAGAGAGAGAGTTTAGAAGGTTTCAAGAATAAAAAGGCTTTCAGAACATTTTATAAAATAACTGGAAGTTCCAGAAGGTTTCAAAAGTTCAGAAAATATTAAACTCAAAAAAGATCTATACTACCAGTTTGTGTCTTTAACTTGATAATAAATAGTATAAACAATCGAATAGTATAGATTATAGAAGAATACTGAGTAAACAAGTGTAGAATGGAACTACGCCTTGGTACAAACAGTTTGATACAATTGCATAATGTATTCCATAAGTTTTTCCAAATAAAGACCACAAAATTACGGAATTCGTAATTGTGTTCAGTCTTTTGTCATTGTGAGGTAGATATCCACATAACTTATTCTTAGTCCAATTGCGTTAACCGTCGCAATTTATTCAAAATGAGCAAGCGTACAGTGACTTATATTACACGTGAGTGTAATTGTCGTTCCCTTTGTAAATCTCTGTTCCCCAAACACCGTTGAACTGCAATGATTTTATAGTTAACACAACGCATACTTATCATGTACGAAGCTTCATGTACCGTAGTTTAATTACACGGCGGAATGCGCCGTACACAAACTTGCTTCCTGTCACAGTATATAAACTTCATTGAAGTTTCATGGGCTGGTCGCTCTCAGAATGAAAGGTATGCGAACTGCGCATCCGGTATGACTTGCCACTTCTTTCGTTCCTCTCGTCTGTCCAGTGATCTCGAACTATCCTAAGCCCCGTGATCCGAGGATGACGTCGATGTTCCGACGGGGCACGATCTTTGCTACGTTCTTCCTGTCGTTATTGGGCGGTGGACTAGTTTGCGCCGCTTTGGTGACGCAACACTGGGTCGAGGCGCGACCGTTGAGAACCCCAAACCCTCAAGAAAGCGCTGGCCGAGTTCACTTCGGTCTTCTTCAAGGAAAGAAGGAGCTGAACGTCGCCTATGGCTGGAGGACCTATCATATCTGTGGTAAGTTCTTCTAATAATACTTTAGTACTCTGTTATTTAATTGTAGGCGGATTTTTATGCATTTTTACGTTTTTTTAACATAAACGGAGAAATAGAGGTTACATTTTTTTGTAAAAATGATAAAATCTAACTTATGATTATTCATAACCTTCAATTCATGGAAACTTAAATTTTTACGTGCATAACTAGTTTTATGAATATGATTAACGAAATGGATTTTTACACTAATGATTAATCAAATGAATTAATAATTTATACATTTTTATATCATTGAAAATGGAAAGTGGCCAAGAAAATGGAAAATTAAATTTGTACGAGTGGATAATGGATTTTTATAGACATAAATAAATGGAACCTGAGTAAAATCTAGAGTATTGGATATTTTTCATGTTTTGTGCGTTATGTATAACTTCGACATTTACAAACAAATGCATGAAAATAGCAGTCTGCTTAGAAGTGATTGAATATTCAATTAATCCTTACCTATATAGACTTGTAGGCCATAAACTGCATGAAATTTTTTTTTAATACTAAATACAGTGTACATATATGAAAAGGAATATGTAGTATTGGTGTTACAATATAGTTCTCTAATTTCTTTTGGAATAAGAACCATCACATTTCAACAATATTTCTTTAGTGTGTTAACAATAAGCTTTTTATATACATTTATGAAAAATCAGTGTTATAATTATTAATAGAATCTTACGATGGATTACAATGAAAATTACAATGGATACTTAACGAAAATTTATAAATTTTTTAGGAAAACAATAGGAATACGATTATAATTCTAATTAATATTCCATTGAAAACCAATATTAATTATTAATATCTATATATTATTATAAGAATATACATTATATTACATATTATATTGCATATTACATTGCATATTACACTATTAACTCTTGGGAGTTACTACAATTCTTTAGTTATTCTGGAATTTTCAATTTAATTTGATTGATTAATCTCCAACATAAATTCTACGTATATTCATCTATATACTTAGCGAAACTATTTGATTCTGTGCAATTAATTAGACACGGATAATACGGTGTTGTTATATAATGCTTAACAATAAATATATATATATATATATATATACACACATAAGTAGTAATAACCGCAACAAGTATCTAGGAAACACTCCAAGATGACGGTTCATTAAATTATCCGGCTTTACCCAATAATCACCAAATGTGTTTCTAACCATCAGAATAATTTTCTGTTGGATGAAACATCATGGCTAATGGATCTGTTAACTGTTTATATTCTTCATTTAAGGATTTACCATCGTTTTCTCTTCCTACTACATATCATATCATTTATTTTTTTTTCAAACCACGTGATATTTGCTCCATTAAGCATGGCTGTTATGTTGCTTATATGACAGCAAATGCATTGCCGAGTGGTAATTAAACGCTTGAACTGCTTTCTGTGCATTTAGTGGTTTCTGCAGCCTTTCGTACATTGTAATTTAAAACGAAGCTTCTGGATACAAAGGCTATTATATACTCCACAGTTTCTGTAATCATTAAACCGTTTACAGTTGCATCCCACTAATGGATAGTTATGTTTCGGTATTGATAATTACCTTAATAGCCGTTATCGTTCTAAAAAATGTTCAGTGCATTTGGAAGTCAGAAGTTGAAGAAAGCGATAAGTAAACTGCAGATTTTTACGTGAATTTGTAGTTTTATAAATCTAAGTAAAACATTATTTCATTTTATAATATTACAATATTTGGTATACTTTTGCATATCATGTGTATTTGTAGATTTCTGTAATTTTAAATTTTTTATAAATACATAAGAATTGATCTAGTGATAAGTCACATTATTCTGTTTCTTACAGAATAGTAATTTGAAAATTTAATATGCTGTCAATTAAATCTATTATATTTAAACCATCTCTTCAGGATTAAATATACTTCTCTTGAATATTTAAAAAGTGTTAATGATGTTAGTTATGTGAATTAATATTATTTGTTTTCCAAAGATTACATGAAAATCTATATTTTGTTCATTTCCAGATTTTTATAGAATTATTAATTTACAGAATAAGTGTTGCTATATAATTATTGATATAAAAATGCTGAATAATTATAACAATAATAATAATAAATGTAGTAGTTACAAATAATTATAACATTAATATCTATTATCTGTTTGTTATCTATTATTTAAATATTCAAGTATAGTAAAGGAACTGAACGATAAATGATACTAAATTTTAGAATCTTTTTTTAGCCATTAAAACAAAAAAAGGTAAAAAAATTAACAAAAGCTGCATCACATTTTTTCCCATGGTCTTTGCTTACTTTTTGGTAAATGAAGACTCGAAAGATTTTTTAAGCATCTAGTATGCGGGCTGATATCCGATGCACGTGATTGCTAGTCACAAAGATTACCAGGAAGCGTCGGCACTGTTTGCACAATTCAATTTACGATAAAGTTTATGAGTTGAAACACTGGCCACGTAGTTTTTCACCACGATCGTGTATTGGACACGGACATCGATCTGTTAAATTATTCAATCTGTTCGCTGTTGGCTAATCCGAGTTTCTGACGAGTTTCTCACCAACAACGCGTTTTACATAACTTTCCTACGATGCGAGGGTGATGTTATCATCGAAGGAACAACCGAGTAGGACAGCCTCTCTCTGCTATCTGCCTATAATGGATAATCAACCGTAATTTATCTATTGTATATCTAGCTTTTATCTTTACCTTATTCATTATGACTTCATTACCCAATCGCTTCTTTCAGATAATTGCCCTGAGAAAGTTGAAGAATTCTGTGCTCAACTCATATCCTGGATCCACCATCCTTGTTTCCTGATTGTTGATGATAGTCTAGACTCTGACAATAAGAGGTTCTGTCCCAAGCTATGTTCAACTCATGTTTAAAAATCATTATCCTTATTTCTTGATCCTGATGATACGATGTTTTGGTACACACATTCATAAGTCATTGGCACACAATCTTAAATCTAATATTTATTGAAATTAATCTGTGACAATGAGAACACTGAGTATTTAGTGACTTACTGAGAGACAGTGTAACCAATTTCAATCTAATCGGTTAACGTCAGACAATGTTAAAATAATTGGACTTCTTGTATTTAACGAACTTGCATTTTAATCTACTTTTCTTTCCATTTTTAATCCTCTGTATAATCAGAATTTCGCTTTATTGCAGTAGAAAAAGATTGTTAATTCTCAACTAATATTATTGAGCCATTGAAAACCATAATTTAAGACTAGATCATTAAATTATTTAGAATTTTTTATTTAATTGAATCTTGTTGCTGATCTTTATCACGAAAGACATGTGAAATACATAATAAAATCAGAGATCCTAAATTTTGTCATAAACAAATTATTTGACATCTTTCTAATGGTGATTGATAAAATACATTGCTAATGAAGCATCGAAATTAAATTTTCAAAATGTATGTGTGTGTTATAGAGCGTTAAATTTTCAAAAGAAATACCAAAAGAGATGTATCAATTAATTTTTCTTTTTTTTGCTTTGATTTTTATTAACATTTATAGATTCAAAAAGGTATTCATATTCTTCTTATAATATTCTCCTACTAATTGAGGAATTCCACTTGCAAATTATATTAACCACTATAATTACTGTTGCTGTAGGTACATGGTACGTGTTATCGTTTGCTGTGAACAGTTCATTTTCTAAGGAGTACGTCAAATTTTCCCGACTCGATCTATGTGTACAACCTGAAATAATATCAGTAAACGAGTTATCGTTGTGGAGGATCGCACTGAGGAAGATTCTCTGGTACTTCGTGTATCAAATGTGATACTGAAGTCATAAATTCTGGTGGATAGTTGGCCAAACCGGAGAATCTCATTCGACATAACTGTAGCTGCACGTGATTTCTGTGTGAGATGGTGAATGGCGGCGGCAGAATTGCGCGTGTATCTCTCATAAATCTGCTATTTGGTAATCAGCGTGCTGCTCAATTGTCGAGGTCTCGATTCGTTAATAGTTACAGAGTCGTATTAAGATTGTTTTTGATCTGAATCATGGAGAGAATTGTGTTGGCAATAATTGATGATCAGATCACTGAAATTATCAAAGCGTGAAACTTGAAAGTACCAGGAATGCGAAAAGATTTATTGTTAAATAAGGACTGCATATTTTACGAAGAATCGTTTTGCAAAAGTGCACCGTTGTTTTGCAGATCTAAAATTTGTGTGAAAAATTAGAAATTGGTCATTTTTCTAATGTGGATTCTGTGACTCTATGATTTTTTGAGGATTTTGTTTACTTTTTATAATCATTTTTGCAATTTTTACAATACTCTATTATTATACAATATTCTCTAGACTCTTTAGAGTAATTAGATTCTTTTTACAGATGTTAATAAGTTGGTAAATTCTGACGAGTTGTGATGAATTTTACATGACCTAAATAACATATATATTATCTAATTTGTCAGAAAGAGGATCTAGTCACACCTAGTTTGAAAAGATGTTCAATAACAGATTCAAAAAAGTTTAACAAGATCAATAAATAATCTTCTCTACAAAATATTAATGTTTCCATATTTACCGACAATTTTAAAATTTTTCAAGACGTGAGTATATAAGCAAATCAATATTTTAATTCAACTTCTATGAACCTTACAGAAAATTTGAGGCAGTTAATAAGAAACTAAAAATACGAATAATTAATGACATAATTCGGACATTTTGCAACACACTACAATAGCAAATGCGTTATATATCCATATTCATATTTGCATATTCAAGAACATCTATGAACACAAGAAGATTGCTAGAAATGTAAAGAATCCTTGATTCGTTATCTGCCCATGAATTTCGCCCAGATTCACGGCTGAACTCGAGTAATAAGACTGTTCATAACATTTGCGTGTCTTGTCATCCCGATACTGAGATCGTTATTGCCGGAGGAAACTGCTATCGTGCCATAAACGGCGGTACAATGCCGGTCGAGCACTCGAGCGAAAACATCCGTTCCCCCCTGGCATCTTACCCCGAAGGTGGACTTAGCCATGTAATCCACGGGGTACGCCAGCTGAAACATTTGAATAACAATTTTACGGGCTCACCATGTATAACGGTTCGTCTCACGCACTTCAGTCGCGGCATAATTTTCGCGGGAGACCGGACGCAAAAACCTGCTTTGTACCAGTTAAATGATTCTATGGCATATATTCTCGTTACTCGTCCATTTATGGGTTTTATTAAATAGCTTACACATATATATCTTCTTAAATTGTATTTTGATGTAAAAAATACATTTGCATCTTACGTTAGAAGATTTGATGCGAGAGGTGTTGGAAGACTGAAGACCAATAATTGGATCAATAATGTTGTAAGATACTTGCTTTGATCATTTGTGGCTGAAATTTGTTCTTGTTAGGAAATGCCGATCTATTTTACGTAGTGAATCATTGTTATCTAGGGAATAATATCTAGAATTTAAAAGAAAAAAAACGTTTTCGTTTAAGATTTTTAATTATAGATAATTTTCTAGTATCTTCTTTTAGTTCTTACAGTGTAAAGGTTTTAGAAATGCTTTGCATTAAGCTGTTCGACAAGTTCAATGTACAGAGCACGGTATCTATGGAAATTGGAGAATGTAGCAGAACAGTAATTGGACCCTCGTGGCCAAGCAGTTTGACCCAGTGGCGGCTAAGTGTACAGTATCAACCACACTGCAATTCTTATTACGATTCTCACTCCACAGATACAATATTTTCTTTATCAGCTTCTCGTATTCCGACTCGGTACATATGATTAGTTGCGTATCGAATGCCACGTTAAAACTGTACATTGCGGGCAATGTCTGTTAGAATTTCTGACTCAGGAGGACGATGTTATCATAGACGAGTTCTTCGATTTATCCTTACATCGATGTCTGTACGAGGAATTTCTTTTAGAGTTCGTTTTCATTAGCTTGAAATTACTTGAAATTACTTTGAAGGTATGAACTTGTTATTTTCCTTAATTTAAAATATCGTTTGGAGTTTGAAGTGGAGACTGAAACTATAAAAACTTCTTTTTCAAAGTTAATTTCATTCATTATTATTCTAGGAATCTTTATCTTCATTGGCAATTTAGGCATCTCCAAGTCAGCTTATATAAATCTTAAATTCAGCTTATTCTAAATCCTCAAGAAATTATCCGGATCTGAATCCTCAAGCACCTTGAATCACCCGGATCTGCAAGTAACTAAACAATCTGAATCTTTGAAAAAACTTGAATGTTCTGAATTTTCAAGAGACTAATCTGAATCTTCAGGTAACTTGAACAATTTAGATTCTTAAGTAACTTAGACCATCTGAATTTTCAAAAAACTCGAGTAATCCAAATTTTCAAATTAATTTTAAATAATTCGAGTATTCAGATAACTTGAACAATCTTCAAATCATCTGGAGATCTTCGAGATCAACTTGACTACCCTGAATTTTCAAGTGTGTAGCTTGTATCTTGACTCTAACTTAAGTAATCTGAATTCAGGTAGCTGGAATAATTCTGAATAACTTGGCTAATTGAAACGAAGCTCTAGTATTAACGACCGATTCCGCGTGGAAAGCAGATCGAACTGTAGCTGCCTCGCCCGATAAGAACAATGGGATTGTTGGCACGTGTCATGAGAAACGTTTCTCTTTCATCGAGCGACGGAATGGTCCCAAAGGGACACGCGAGGAACACGTACCGGTTTCGATCGTGTATGTATGTATGTACCGATAATCGCGTGGCATGCACGATTAACCATTGTGTATATGTTAGTTACTATTTAGCCTGAAACGTGAGGTCAATAACAGCTTCTTTATTTTATTGTACCAACAACGGGGCAGATATTGGTATGCGTGTCGCAATGGAATACGATAGTAATCGTTTATTAATCCCCTCGCTCGTCCCTCTTCGCTGATATATTTCATTGATAATGAAGAAAAGAATTAATCGCGCTGATGCACGCGACTAGCATATTAACTTTGATCATTGCCTGAACGTGTCGCGCGTTTAATGACAAAAGCCGATCAAATTGAATTAATTTTCGAGTGATATCTACCTCTGTTATATTCTTTTCTTGCGAATCGTAATAAGCTTAGTGGAATACCACGTTCTTCCTTTCTCTGTGAGTTGTAGGTCTTTTATTTTATTAATATTTGTATTTATTAATTAACTGTTGAAATTTTCTACAAATTTTAGAAATACTGAAAAATTCTTGAAAATGAAGGAATTTTAAATTGATGATTTCTTTCTCTTTTTAATTGGAATTTGAAAGTTTTTGTTTGAATGCTTTTTATTTTAACTTATTTTTGAATATATCCATAACTCTTACGTTAAATAATTTACTTATTAACTTTCATCAAGGTAATCTGTCTATTAAATTTCACGTTGTACTGTAATTTACATTTTAATTTATATTTAACTATAGAGAGATTGGTATAATAGAGATTAGCAATTACAGTATTAATTAATAATCTCGTATTTTATATTGATTTCACGACTTTTCACAGATTATAGAAGAACGTAAAACGAAAGAGCTCCATTTGTCAAGTGAAAATTTTCCAAAAGAAGAAAAGTAAGGGAAGCGGGGAAAGAATTCTTTCTATAGTCGCTGTATGATTAATAGTTCGGTGTCAGCAGCTGTTCAAAGTGTACCTAATAGCGGAATAGACAGCCGTAAGAGTTTGGAAATGTCGGACACGGTTCTAATCCGTTCCCGTTGCAGATTTCATCGGCGGCAAGAAGTTTTTTGCGACACCCACGCGCAGAGGCGCGCAGGAGAAGCGGTTGAATAAAGAAAAGCAGCCCGAGGGAAAGATTCCGTGCGCGAGAGAGCAACCGCGACGGTTGTAACAATAGGAGCAGAAACTGGTTTCTGAGTGTGCAAAAATTCACGACCGTGCCTCGTGGTCGACTTTCACGTGCTCCAGCAACCTCGTATCATCGACTGTCCCGATGCTGACCACGGGAAATATTAAAATCTCTTTTCCTTGGAAACTTTCACGGTCAATGAAAGTACCGAATTCGCGTTTCATCCAATTATAATTATCTTTACACAGTTTGATTTGATTAATTTTTGATATTAATCACAATCGCTTTAGGCGAGGCTAAAGATAAGGCTATTTCAATATTCTTGACATCATTGGGTTTTGTTTCAAACAACCTAACTTTCATTAAAAATAACCATGTAGAGTATTATTGGTATTAGTAATAATTATTACTATAATATTCTATGATATTCTATTATTTTATATATTATTAATAATGTTATAAGTTTTAAGACAACGTTCTATAATTGAAAGGCATACACTGGTTCTTTATTAATGTAAAATATAGTCGTTTTGTGTGTTGAAACTCAATGCTTGGAGTAAACATGGAACACAAGGAAAGGCACGGCTCTTGAGAAATTCCTCGGATGTCCTTTCGTGGACGCAAGTTGTTAACTTGGCGATTCACTGAGAATCCCGCCCGCGGCTAATTAAATAGTCCGTTATTTGCGATGCAATATAACTTGAACTAGCTAAAGCAAGAGTATTTACTGCACGCTTAATTATTCATTACGTGCTACGATAACTTCAGTTTGCACGCCAATCCAGAGTAAGATTCGGTTTGCACAGAAAAACTGAACGTTCAAGTTGATGAGACTTTTTCAACGACAATGACAAACATTATAGATTAATAATATGCTAACGTTAATCGACAGTAACTTTGTTAATAATAATTCTAGTAAATTGGATATTATTTTAAACAACTGATATTAACTGTTTATTTTCATTTATTAACTGTTTTCTTTAATTTCAATTAAATTTTTTCTCCTTTCCGAAGAATATAATTTTTATTTCTATCTTTCTATTTTTAAACATAATTTAATAATATTGAAAGTGTTAAAGTATCTGAACGTGGTGAACGGCTGACATATAAATGTGAAGCTCGCGTCATTGATTTTTACTGCTGATGCTAAAATCTACGTCCTGGATACTATTATTGAAGTTATCGCATAAAAATAATCGTTTGTTTCGTTTCAGTGCCTCAAATGATCAAGCAAGACCCAACTGTGATGTCTTGGGGACTCTGGATCAGCACCCTAACGACAACCTCGGCAGCACTTGTCACCGCTGGCTTGGCTGCTTTGCTCGCCGTTTTGAACACAGCCACTTCCCCCAGGTCTAAAATCCTTTCCGATCCTGGAGTATATTTTATAAATATCTTAACACGTACGTTGATCAGAGTATTATAACTTTAACTTTGACTTAACAATTCAGTTTAAAGAAATCAAAAAGAAAGAAAAAAGAAAAGTCATCGACTATATAAAAATTGAATAAAATTTATTAGAGATTAGTTACATTACAGTATATTGTAAAAAAGTCAATTATTTTATAGTTTTAAGTTACGTGTAACTTTAAGACGTTTCATGTTAATTGATATTTAATTCAGTGCTAATGTGCATGGCGAGTACGAGCACTTGGCTAGCTCAGTATTACACGAAGCTATACTTCAACGTGCTTCCGAAGGAGGACATCGATAATATGTGGACCAGCGAAGGTTCTGCTGAGCTTGGTTATTCATTTTGGTAAGAGACTTTTCATTCTGCTCGATATAGCGTGGACGTATTCACAATAGAATACCTCTGCTAAGCTTCATCCATGATCTCGCATTTTTGTAGTTGCTGGCAAGTTTTATTGCAGGCCATATTCGATATTGTGAATGTTTTTCCATTTCCAGTGCTTTCAAATTGCGAGAGGAATGCGAATTATTAAACTTGCGGCTTAATAAAATACTAGCCACTTTAATCTAACGTAAAGTGAGAATTTCCAACGTAAAATATTTTGTCTTTTAAACGTTGAAACGTTACTTTAAAAATTAAGGAGTGATTGCGAATGTTTACGCATTTGTGAAAAATTTAGAAAACGTATTAATAACATGCGAACAAATTTCTGTTTGAATATAAATTTGCATAAAGATCCGCAATCTGCATACTTATTTTTACTTCTACATGCACTGATACGTTAAAGAAAATGTCCTTGAGAATTCAACTGATTTTAGATACGGTAATGCTTTCTGCTTCAAAGTTACAACAGTCGGGGCGTAGAAAAAAAAAAAAAAAAAGGAAAAATAGGAGAGAAAAAGAAACACGTAGATTTTTAGAGGTGTCTCTGTGATTTCGCTTCTAAGGTTGCTTGTTTTCTTTCAGGCTGGTTGTGTGCGCCGGTGTGGTGCATTTAATCAGCATAGCGTTGGTAGGCTGGGGCTCAGGACGAGACAAGATCGAACGCTTGGAGACAATTCCAGCGCTAGAGGAAAAGACCGCCGCAGCGATAATGCTGTATTGAATCCCGTGGCTCTTGAGACGGCGAGAACTCAAAGAGAGAAAGAAGTCCATTATAAAAATTACACAGAGTGTGCTGCTCATATTTGTTAGCGTGCATTGAGACAACAGGAATCGATTAAGCAAAGAGCTGACTACGATGTTTCTTCTATTCGAGAAGAGACAAGTTCCTAGACGTTTGTTAGCGTATTTAGTGTGGCGACGTAAAAAAAACAAAAACGAAAAGAGCAAGCACATTAAATGGGACTATCGTTTAAAATTTTGTTAAAACTTAAGCGTGAAATTTGAGGAATTTTGACACGTAAAAAAAAAAAAAAAAAAAAAAAAGAACATTTAACTTTAAACGAATTTGTTGAATCGTATAAAAATAAATCAAATGTAAATTTCATCGTGCAAAATTTGACCAAATCGAGTGTAAAGGTGGAAACGCGATTTTTGTAACTATCTGATCAGAATGCAGTTTCCGGTTGAACGTTTTATTTGAAAAATATGACCCCGGGCTTTTCAGACCGCTGAAATTATCGAGAGTGGAAACCAGGCCGTGTAATTGATCGTTTCTGCACGGAGTTATGGAGCTTGCACCGTAATATCGCGTGATTCGGAACGTTTTGAACAGTTTAGTATGCATGTGACAAAGTGTGTACTATATATGGTGTTGAACTATATATTTTCATGTAATAATTTCGAGAAGTGTCTCGATTACAGATATAAATATATCGATAGCATCGCAATTTGTTCTATTACAATAATAGTGTATTTCAACTGTCGTCGTTGGTTCACGTTGGTCGACACGTTATCTAAATAATTTTAATAGTTTCCTTCATCTTCCACACGTTTAAAATAATCCAGTTTTACACACGCATTTATTCATTCTCAAATTAATCTTTCTCTTTTTTTTTTTTTAATAAGAACAGTAGATTACAGTTTAGATAAATGAAAGAAATAGACAATAAATAACGCGTTTATGTTTTCTATTCATGCATTTGTCAACGAAGATTGACACAAAATAACGTCGACTTAATTTAAGACTTCACGAATGTTTTGTTTAAGTTTTATAGGTTGTAAATAGAAACGGAGTTTGATACTCTGTAGCGATTTATTTATTACGTAGTATCTTAATTATTAATTATATCATAAATGTAATAAAACAATTAAAAAGACAATATAGATAAGATGTGTAGATCTCTATTCTCACCGTAATAAAGAGGTCTGGCTCTTACGTTTTGTTTCATTTTACAGGCTAGAAGTCGTTACCTCGAATGTGTGCGGAAGATTGCTATTATATGTATTAGATCTTTCAGAGTCACACAATTCGTTTCTTTAGTATTTTTTTCAAGGTGAAGATATCACGCGATATTGGTTTTATAAAAACATCAACGTAAGAGTTGGGATACAAGAAAACTTTATTAATGTTTTTTTTTTTTTTTTTTGGACTTTTAACCTTTGCCGAAAGGTTTAGCCCAGCAAATTCAATATCGTCATCACTTATACAATTCGCCATCCCTTCTGCTCTGTACATTGATTCATATTTTATATGTATACTGTATCCACCGAGCTTTCTGTTCTTTTCTTTCTTTGTTTTTGTTTCCTTTTTACAAGTCTAATACATATATCGTAGTGTAATCGATTTAGAAAATTGTTGTTGCACGGCTTAGAAAAATCATATAAACTCAATCTTATCGTCGACTATTAATATTACAATTCGTATTCTTTCGTAATGCGTACGTGAATTGGCTACGACCCATAGATCTTTGTGCTTTTTTTTCTTTTTCTCTCTGTTACGAGCATGTTCGGAAATAAATGAAGCGGTGCACAAAACAGTAGAGTTGGGCCTATCGATTTCAGGCGAAAGTTTAACTGCATATTATGCACTGTTCTTGAAGAATAATAAACATTGCTTCTATAGATTGTTGTCGACTTCTATGTTAACGCCGGTTCACCTGTGACCATCCATCGTCTTCCGGTGGTCGTCTTCTCTCGTCGTGCTTCGATGGAAGTCGATCATCTTTCGTGTCGTCTCGCCTAGTAATTTAAATTTAAATTTACTTAAAATTAACGAAACGACATGCAAAACAGTCAAGATGAGCTAATCAAATATGGAAATGTATGTAGTTACTTTTCGTCGCGTCTTGGTAAATCTCGAGCCGAATTCTGTATCGTGTCGCTCTTATCGCGCCAATTTTGACTACTTGTGTTCCGCATCGTATCTTCACGACGATGTCCACCACTGCCACTGCCACCGCCACCACCACCGGCGCCGGCACCACCGCCAGCACCAGTTCCACCACCTCCACCTCCACCTCCACCTCCACCACGACGATCGGACATTCTGCCACGGTTACGAGGTCCATCAGATATCGGATCACGTGGAATGTCACGCATCTGTAAAATATTAATAAACGTAATTTAGAAACGTATTTTCCTCACGTTTCGTTAAAAGTTCTTACACAATTATATACTTACTGAACGTCCATCCATTCCACGATCTTTATCTATCCGATCTCTATTATCCCTTGTATCATCCTTGTCGTAATCGTCTTTTCTCCATCTCTCGATAGTCTCTTTCTTCGGTTTATCGTCATCCTTTCGCCATTTATTATCCACATCTCTTGGATCCCGTCTTTTCCAACGGGTAGATTCTTCTTTGATACCGTCATCTTTCGCATCGACAGGACGACGCCAGGACATTTCGACTGCAATCAAGTATAACATAAAGTATATTGTGCAATCTATAAAATAATTTCGACAGTAATAAACGTACCTGGCTTATCCTGCATACGGTGACGTTCTCCACGTCTCCATCTATCCGCCATTTCTTTATCTCTCTGTTTCTCCTCCTCTAACTTCCGTTCTATCTCAGCTTCCCTAGCCCTGGTGATCTCTGCTTGTTTCTCAATTTTCGCCAAACGTTCAGCCTCTCTCGCCTCTTCCTCTGCACGCCTTAGTCTCTCTTCCTCTTCTCTCTTGGTTCTTTCCTCTTCCAAACGCCGTTTCTCCTCTTCTTGCTTAATACGTAATTCTTCCAAACGCCTTCTCTCGATAGCTTCAGCTCGCTCTTTCTCCCATTTGGCTTTTCTTTCGGCTTTACGTTCCATCTTACGTTTCAGCAATCTGCTCACCCTCTCGTCGTTCAATACCTTTTCAAATTCCTTTAGCTTTTCCAGATAAACACTCTTACGCTCGGCTAAGATCTTCGCTAAGAAACTATCATGATCCTCCTTCATTCTTGCCATGCGTTCGCGTGTGGCAACAGCTTGCTGTCTCTCCTCGATGGCCGCGGCGATTCGTTCGGCTTCCTGTTGTTCCCAGCGTTGTTTAGCCAATTCCATCTTCTCTTCGACCGCCTTCTCCAGCAACGGTATTTCCTCTAAACGTTTGGCACGTTCCAAGTAATCTATCTTCTTCTCCTGAGACTTCAATTTCTGTTGCATCTCTCTGCGTTCTTTTTGCAATTCCTCAGCTTCCCGGGCTGCGATTTGTTCCGCATCTAATTTCTTGATTTCGTCCTCGTCCAATTTTTTCAATACCTTCTGACCGTGACTAGTTTGAGATATCTGTTGCATCTTCTCTTTCAGATGCCTATCCTTGATCTGCTGAATCTCGCTTTGCTGCCGTTTCCTCTCACGTTCCTCTCTCTCCTGCTCGAGCCTCTTTTGCTCTGCCAACATTTGCTGCCTTTGCAGTTCCTCCTGTCTTCGCATTTCCTCTTCCTCGCGGACTGTGTTTATGTGTTCGATATACTCCTTTCTTTCTTCGATGATCTTATGTCTTCCGAGGATCCTTTGGTGTTCTTTCATCTTGGTCTCGTGATAATGGTTCACCATGGCGGAACGCAACTTTTCGCGCTCCATTTTCTTCTTGTTCGGGTTAATAATATTGATCGCTCTGTGCAACACAGTGGCCATATTCACGAGCTGGCAGCGGATCTGTTCAGAAGGCATTGCTTGCAATACAGGACCATCGGGATGATCTTCCCTCTGAGCCTCCGACAGATCAACACCAAAATGCACGCACTTCTTCCCGTGACTGATCCTTATCTGCATGTCGTTGTATCTCACGCAATCGACCAGCAGACGTTCCAGGTGAAAGTCTGTCGTGAATTTGGCAAGTTCCAAAAGTCTAGCGAATTGTATGGTCTGATAAACTTGCGATATTTGATGAACCAGACGTACAAGAGTAACGTCTTGCAGGGCTGGGATATACTGAATTAAAGGGCTATTTTCGTCTGCCTGCAACGTCTGGATAACAGAGTCTACTCGACTACATAGTTCCAGAGGGTGAAATTCGACCTCGAGCCACGAGTACAATTCTTGCAACTGCGGCGATGCTAAGTTGACGATATTCAAACGAACGATATCTTTAAGCAAGGAAACCCTAGTTGGTGGCTGAGTGAGTCCTAGGAGCGTGGCAAGCTTTTGAGCTTTCTCCAGTGGACTCTTATCCGTTTCGATGAAACGATCAAATTCTGGGTGAGCCGATGGCAGTGGAATAGATAAAGTGGCTAGTAAGACACGATTGGCCATTCTCTGCTGTTCCTCCAAAGACATGTTCTTCTTCATTTCGCGGGAGAGCTGCAACAATTTAAACAACGCCGCAGCATGGAATAGATAGTTTCCTGCCTTCCAGAAAACCATAGCCAGTTTCTGGTAATAATTCGCCATAGTTTTTGGCACTGGAAGTTTCTTGGACAAATTCATCATACCGTGCACATCTTCAGAGGATTTAAACGCTTCTTGCCACAGCTCCATTTGTATTGCTGAATCAAGCTGATTCAGTCGCGTTTCCAGATTTAACTGTTGTGTTTCCGCTCTATTCATGGAAACGTTCGACACGAGAGCCGGTAATTTACAAATCTCCTCTAAATGTTTTCGCAGTTTCTCGCACAGTTTACGAAATTCAGTCTTACGATTATATTCAAGACAAAACTGGAAGGCCATACGTGCAATATCGTGATACAATGTCTCAACATGAGCGTTGGTTCTTAGTAATTCTAAACACTGGCAATAAGATTCCCATAGAAATTTCACCCATGGTGTCAGGATAGTACGGTCGCTTCGGTCTTGTGCATCCTCGCCACTTACTGCTGACAACAATATGCTTTCAGGTGTGGCCAAGTTATCAAGATCATCTATGTCTATAACGGCCTGTTGGCTCTGCTTCCGTGCTTGGTTTGTTTTTTCCTCTGCCATGCGTAGATAACCACGTATGACATTTTCCAAGCTTCCGACATTCACAGATTGAAACATGTTCCGATATTGAAATAGGCCCTCCTTTGCTATATGTGATTTCTTTAACTCCACACATAGGTCCAGGTATTTGAACATTATCGGTTCTAAAACCGACTCTGACCAATTGTACGTCCATTTTTTATTGCGGAAGACTTCTTGTAGAGTATCTAATGCTCTAGCTGGCTTTCCCACTTCGATGAACTCTGTTAAAAATAAAAAGGTGGGAAACACATGTTTAGAAATTTTCTCAGTTTTATTTGAGATACTTAATACATATATATAACATAAACGTGTACATAATATAACATAAATGTGTATAGATTATACTGCTCTGTAATGTGATTTATTCTGACATTAACCGTATTAAAAATATGTGTTATAGCTAGTGTTTATGTAACAGAACAAAGTTAAAGAGGGTCAATATTAATATTGCGAAAAGGATTCTCAAATAAAACTGCACGCAAGATTCAACAAGCATTGACTACAAATGTTCGCTCGTTCGTACAAACAATGTATATACTGAATGATTTTATTCGATAAATTAATTCGAACAAAAGATCGTATGCAAAAATAGAACGTTGCGTTTCACTTGTAATCGTAGCGTATCTTTTAGAACTCTTCAGAACTCTTAGAATCTTGCACAGTTGTTCCGTTCTAGATGCATATGGTTAGGTAAAATTGATGTTTTTAAAAAGTCAGGACGTGCCCACCGAACTGAATGTTCCGCGACAAATGGGAGGCGTCACTTGCGACGATTGACCAGCAAATCGTGGAAATATACGGTTAAATGGAGCAACCGAGGATTGTGAGATATTGGCGTGAAACGGGACAGAGGAATTTTTGGAATCCAGATTAAATAGCTATCGGCCATGTCATATCTCGTTAAAGAATAGTCACACGTACCGTTTGCTCTTTTCAGAGCGTTCTCGGGTCTCTGTCCGTATCGTGCCATTTTCTCACACGTGCACAGTCAATTTCACACCATACAATCTGCCGTGAAATTTTGCGAGATTTCTATAGAAAATAATATGATCCACTTTTCTTCGTACGCGACGTTTGTCACGACGGGGCCTCGACCGCGTGTACCGGATGAGAGGCGGCCACTACGGAAAAATGGCTTCCCGTAATATGCAAGTCAAATCAACGTGGCCACGTTACGCTGCATTTTGCAAACAACCGGTATACGCAATTGACATGTTACGAAAAAAAAGCATTGCTTGGTTTAGTATTTTTCCGCTGTGACTGGCGATCTTTCCTCGCTGTTTTTATATTAATTTCGATAATACTCGCATTACGGACTTGCCACTAGATGTCGCGAGAGATCCGTTTTGAATGTTGCTGACGCTGAATCGAACCGACCAATTATTTATCAATGATTGATTTGAAAATCAATCAGTCGCGCAATTAGATTGAAATTATTTATTTGATCACATTCGTGTAAACAGACAGGTATATTTACAGTAAGAGCAAATATTATAATTATAATTACAGTAAGAGCAAATTCTCAGCTACAGCTAAATTGATTAGAAAATGTTCTACCGCTGGTGGTAAGTTCTTTTCTTTCAATGTTTGCGCTGATACCATTTTTTTTCCATCCGGCCCTTGAACTATAGCTAGAGATTTCAATTGATTCAACAAGTCTTGAGTTTTGTCGTTTATCTCAGAAATTATTTGGCTCTCAATATAAGACTGATTCTCACTCAGTTGAATCATAAATAGGGCTATTTCTTTGTGTGTTTTTGTCATTGTCAGGCTCTCTAAATAAATTGATGGAATTAACATAAATTTCTTAATAAAAGCAACGGTATTTTCAATTGCACTTTTATTTACCTTTTGCGTGTGACGCAACTGTGATTTCTCTGGCTGGTATATTCACAAGCAGGTCAAACAAATCTGTTCTCGACGAAATGGAGCTGTTTCTGCAACCAGCAATATAGTGTGAAAGTCCCTGAAAACATGTAATTATCAGAGGTGCATGATATCTGTCAGGCAATTACAAAATACAGGTGATCGATATACCTTTAATTCTGCCAATTCATCATCAATTAAATCAATCCAAGGGAACAAATTATCAGTGACTTTACGGTGCTTCATCAACAGAGGAAATATTCCAATCCATTTTAAAAGCTGTTCCAGGCTATGATGATAGACTATTATCCTTTTCTTCAGAAGAAGAGCGGTGTATATTAAGATTGTTTCTAACTCGAATGTTTTAATCATTTCTCTGACATTTGTACTGATTATAAAACAATGGCTGTTAAAGTCATCAGAAACAAACGTTCCATTTTCCTGAGTGGAACACGATCCTTTTGTAAATACAGAGAGATATAATTGCAATATCTCTGTTGGCTTGCCAGTTTTGCAGTACATTTTGCTAAGGACTCTCGATAGTACCTCATACTTTCTTGGATTAAAGTCTTTGGCAAACAAGACCAATGCAAACTGCTTCACCTGTTTCAAACAGAACTTTAGGATGTTTTCATTACATTCCTATATAATGATATTAATGTTTCTATTTAGAAAAAAGCATGTGACTTACTTTTGGTAACTTATCTGAATCAAATACTTCACTACAGTGTATGTAGAACCAATTGTACTTGTACCTTGAGAATACAAACACTTGAGGGGAATTGTGTTCTACTTCTAAATTGCATTTTCTTGCAACAACCGCTTTTTGCGATTCTGAAACGATTGGATAGGACCACGTCCATAATATGTCACCATTGGAATCTTTCTCAATTATACTACATGAGAGCAAATCCGTAAGAGGTGCCATTTCAAAATTTTCTATTAAATCATATTAAAATAAATGGATGGTCTCTTTATATACATATATATAACGGATGTTATTATATATATATAATAACAACAAGTTCTCTTTATTGAAAAATAATAATACACTATTATTTACAATTAAATATAAATATTTATGTTATGTACATATAGAAAAATTGATCTTGTTAAATTTGAGGTTATGTTACACAAAGAGAGGTGTTTAGTAATGCCACAAACAAAGTGCATATATGAATAGACCTCGTGTAGAATGTATTTTTCAAAATTGATTTAATCATGAAACAAATTTTTCAGTGATGAAAAAATTTCTTCTCTTCGGTGAGAAGTTTGTATTTTTATAACTTTGAGTAGAAAAACGTATTCTGTTTTACGCTTGCTGTATAGTGTAAAAATAAATATCTTTGAACGAAACAAACTCAAACTTATTATAGTAAAGATTTTTCTCTTTAAAATAAAATCAAATAAATTATTCTACATTTTTTTCAGCAAATTATAACAGTATTTAAAGTATTGACAATTTTTTGTTTAGTGTATAAATATTTTTGTTCTTTTTTAACAATTTTTCATGAATTTTATGTATTTGATTTAGATCAAAGTTTCTTATTTTTTATTCCAAATTAACATTTCGTTCGAAATGCGCGCGTATTGAGTTCAAATTAGTTAATGATTACAGCGCCAACGGCAATACACGGAAATACACTTCCTACGATTCTCGAACTCGAAATCGATATTGCTCACGACCGATTCTTAACCGAGAAGTGGCGGTTAAAAATGGCGGAGAGAAGCACACCTCATCTGTACAGAAGAAAATATTATTCAAAAAAATCATTCGGAAGTAAGTATCATTCAAAAGTATCATCTCAGGTAAAAATTTAAATCAGTACTTATTAAATTTGCGTTTGTGTTATATATGTTTAAGATAAAACATTTTCACTCCAGCTCAAGGTAAGATGTAACCAAATAATTGACATCATTTTCAACAATTAAAGAAATAAAGCATATAAACATTTAAATAGAATATACTGTGCTAAAAGTTATTTATAATTTTATACCAAAATTAAATTTCAATTCTAATAGTACAAATATTGTAATTTTGTAATATGACTATATATATATGTATAACATACTTTTACTTCTATTGTAACATTTTTTAACATTTGTTGATTCTTTAACTTCATGTATTACATAATTCTTAATAATCCAACCAAATACAACAATAATTTATTAGGAATATACATATTCAATAGTTAAAATAAATAATTTTACAACGCATAATGATAAAATATAATAACATTTCTCATATCTCAGTTTAATGTGTCGACAATTTTTCATCAAGTGTATGAATATTTTCGTTCTCTTTTAAGAATTTTTCATGAATTTTGTATATTTAATTTTGTATAATATTTGATTTAGCCTTGAGTTTTTTATGTTTTATTTTATCATTAAACGTGAAACGCACGATTACAGCGCCCCAACGGCGAAATATGGAATATACTTCCTACGATTCTCGAACTTGAAATCGATATTGCTCATGATCGATTTTTAACCGAGAAGTGGCGGTTAAAGATGGCGGAGAAAAGCATACGTCATTTGTAGAGATTAGAATATTATTCAACAAAATCATCGGGAAAGAGATATTATCCAAAAGTTCTCAGGTAAAAATTTAAATCAATAAATAAAATTTGAAGTTGATTATGGTTTCACTTTCAAATATTTGCCTTCATTTGACATATCTGTTCTAACTTTTGGTTTCTTTTTGTACAGGATATTCCTTGATTGCTGAAATAACATAAATTGCATAGATACCACGATCATTAATAAACAATCTGATGAACTTTCACATAAAGTTTGCAACATTTCATTCTAATTCATTCTAAGTAATATTTGTTGTACAATTTATACATATTTCAAATACAATTCACAATAAGTACTTTCGTAATATGGGATAGAAGGATGAAAATGGAAAGATTAAATCAATTAATATTTTTTATTTCGAATATGAAGATCCTAGTAGCTCAGTGGTGTATTCAAATGGATATGTATTTTTGTATTAGATTATTAAATTCAAAGTTTCCATACTTGATTTATAATACATGATGTGATATATTATTGATAAATTACTAATGCATACTAATTGCTAATGCATTCACATTAATAACGAACATTCAGAATAAAATTTTTACAAATATTTCAGCAAATATTAAGAAATACTTTATAATTTCCAATTAATATCTTTAATGCATATTCAAGTTTATAATCATTTTCTAGAAATATAGTAGCATTTTCAAATAAATGTACTCTTTGCCCTTTCCCTCCTAATCAACTTTATTTTCAGAAAATTTTTGTGATCGCGCGCAATGCGGTCGGTAGAGTCAGTGTTTGTTGCGAAATATTTTAATATTTTTCTAAGCAAAGTGGCTCTTATTAAATTAAATAATTCATTTAAATTATAATTCGCGAAGTTACAGTCAGTGAATCCGCCGATTGTTGTTTAAACGCGCGCGTTGATAGTCTTTTATTTTTCCTTTCTCATATTTTTTTTTCTTCAACACTCGTTTTCGGTATTGGAGTGAGCGCTCAAGAGGATATGGCCTCTCCAGGAGATCAAGATCGTAAGTAGTTATATATTGTACTTCAATTTACTCAGTTTTTCAAATTTAACAACAGAGTATAATATTTGACGTTTTGTTACAGATACTTCACATCAGCATTAATTTTTTTGTATTTTTTGAAAATACAAAATCCAACGGCGGTTCTAAAGCCAAGAATGTAAGAATCTTTCATTATCTCCAACTTAAGATTTTGTTTTGCTTTTAAATACAAATTCTAAAGTTTAACGTCTTGTTGCAGATCTTCTACAATCTCCCCTTTCCCTAATACTCTAAGAATCTTATAGCTTCAGAAGCTAAAAATGTAAGTACTTTAGTATGTTGTATTTAAATTTTATTCTGTATAATTTTCTT